ATGGAGACATTACTACTGACCTTATAGAGATAGAAGGGATTCTAAGAGAATACTATGAACAAATTACTATATATCAACAAATTACATAACCTAGAAGGAATGCATAAATTCCTTGAAACATATAAATTACTTAAACTGATTCAATAAGAAATAAAAGATTCGACCCACCTATAAGAAGTAAGGAGATCAAATCAGGAATCAAAAATCCCTAACAAAGAAAGTTCTGGACCAAATTGCTTCACTAGTAAGTTCTACCAAATAGTTGAAGAAGAATTAACACTAACTCTTTTCAGGCTCCTTCAAAAAATTGAAGAGAAGGGAATATTTATTCTCTGAGGCCTGCATTGCCCTAATACCAAAACTAGATAAAGATATCACAAGAAAATAAAATTATATGCCAGTATCCCTATGAATATAGATGCATATGTCCTCAACAAAATATTAACAAATGAAATCCAATAGCATAATAAAATGATTATTCACCATGGCAAGCGGGATTTATCCCAGTAGTACAAGAGTGGTTCAATACTTGAAAATCAACATTATACATCATATTAATAGAACTAAGGGAAAAACTACATAATCATATCAATTGACATAGAAAAGGACAAAATCCAACTTCCTTTTATGATTAAAACCTCTTAGAAAACTAGGATTAGAGGGAAAATTCCTCACATGAAAAAAGCATTTATGATAAACCCATGGCTGGCATTATACTCAATGGTGAAAGACTGAAAGCTGTCCCCCTAAGATCAGGAACAAGACAGGGATACATGCTTTTGCCATTGGTATTCACTGTTGTGCTGGAAGTCCTAGCCAGAGCTAATAGAGAAGAAAATGAAAGAAAAGACATCAAATGTGAAAGGAAGAGGTAAATCTATCTCTAGTCACAAATAATATGATTCCATAAATAGAAAATTACAAAGAATCAACAAGAAAGAAACTGAAGCTAATAAACAAATTTGGCAAAGTTGCACTGTACAAAATACACATAAATCAGCTTGTGTTTCTATATGCAGCATTGAATGATTTGAAAAGGAAATTAAGAAAGCAATTCTATTTACATTAGCGTCTAAAAATTAAATACTTAGGAATAAATCTAACCAAGGAGGTGAAAGACTTATACACTGAAAACTACAAAACACATTGTTGAAAAAATTATAGGAGACCTAAATAAATGGAAAGACAATCCATTTTCATGGATAGGAAGACTTAACATTGTTAAGACATTATTACAATCCAAAGTGATCTATAGATTCAACACAATCCCTACAAAAATTCCAATAGCCTTTTTCACAAAAATGGAAAAGCTGATCCTCAAATTTATATGGAATTGCAAGGAGCCCTGAAAAGCCCAAATGACCTTAAAAAGAAGAATAAAATTGGAGGACCAACACTTCCCAACTTTGAAAGTTACTACAAGGCTACAATAATTAAAACAATATGGTCTTGGCATAAGGACAGATGTATAGACCAATGGAATAGAGAGTCTAGAAATAAAATCTGTCATATATGGTCAGTTTATTTTCTACAAGGGTGCTGAGACTGTTCAGTGAAGAGAGGGTCATCTTTTTAACAAATGGTGCTGGGAAAACTGGATATCCAACGTGTGAAAGGATGGGATCCATACTTTATACCAGATACCAAAAAATTAAAATGGATCGAAGATCTAAACTTAACAGCTAAAACTGTAAAACTCTTAGAAGAAAATGTAGGGGAATATTTTTATGACCCTAGATTTGACAGTGGTTTCTTGAGCATGACACCAAAAACACAGACAATAAAAGAGAAAAATTGATAAATTTTACTTCATCATAATTATGAACTTTTGTGTATCAAAGGAAACTACAGAGTGAAGAGACAACCTACTGAATAGGAGAAAATATTTGCAAATTATATATCTGATAACGGGTTAATATTCCATATATAGAAGTCTCCCAAAAAACCCAATTCAAAAATTGGGAAAGGATTTGAATAGACATTTCTCCAGAGAAGATATACAAATGGCCAATAAACCCATGAAAATGTGTGCAATATCATTAATCATTAGAGAAATGCAAATCAAAAACCACAATGAGATATCTCTTCATACCCATTAGGATGGTGTTATGGACTGAATTGTCCCTCTGAAATTATATGCTGAAACCCTAACCCCCCTGCTTGACTGTATTTGAGATAGGACCTTTAAGGAGATAATTAAGGTTAAATGAAACCATACGATGGGGCCCTAATCTGACCTTATAAGAAGAGGAAGAGACACCAGAGATCTCTCTCTTTCTGCATGTAGACAGAGGAAAGGCCATGTGAGGACACAATGAGAAGGTGGTTCTCTGTAAGCCAGGAAGAGAGGCCTCCCCAGAAACCAACACTGCTGGCACTATGATCTTGGACTTCTAGCCTCCAGAACTGTGAGAACATAAATTTCTATTGTGTAAGCCATCCAGTCTGTGGTATCTTGTTATGGCAGCTGAGCTGACTAATACAGATATGTATAATCAAAAAAACTGAAAGCAAATGTTTGTGTGGATGTGGAGAAATTAGAACCCTGTGCATTGCTCTTGGAAATATAAAATGCTGCAGCCATTGTAGAAAGCAGTTTGGCATTTTCTCAAAATGGTAAAACACAGAACTAACACATGACCCAGCTATTTGACTCCCAGGTATATATCCAAAAGAATTGAAAAGAGGGAGTTAAACAGATATTTTTATGCCATGTTTATAGCAGCATTATTCATAATAGCCAGAAGGTGGAAACAACACTAGAGTTCATCAGCAGATGACTAGATAAACATAGTAGGTATATACATACAATGGAATATGATTCAACCATATAAAAGAATGAAATTTTGATTTCAGCTTTAACATGGATGGACCTTGAGAACATGCTTAGTGATATAAGGCAGACTGAGAAGTATGAATATAGTATGTTTCCACTTATATGAGGTACCTAGAATAGTCAAAGACAAAGTAAAATAGAGGTTACTGGGGACTGCAGGGTGAGGGAAAGGGGTTATTCATTATTTAATGGATAGAGTTTTTGTTGGGGATGATAAAGAAGGTTTTGGTAGAGGTAGTGGTAATAGTTATATAACATTGTGAATATTTAATGCTGATGAGTAGTACACTTAAGAATGGCTAAAATTACAAATATCATATATATTTTATAACACACACAAACTCCTAAAAAATAACCCAGCACTGATTTCATTAGATAAGTGTTTAGGTATGAGTGGGAATTACTAGGCTCATGGTGACAAATACAAAGTTTCCAAAATTCTTATTTTTGCATGAAAGCTCGAATTTTTCCTGAACGTTACAGACTCATTTTGTTCATTTTCAAGGAAATGTCTGACACAAAACAAAGTCTGAATAACCATAATTTGTTGGCTAATCTTCTAATTAAAAATGGTATTCCATGAAAAAAACAGTTTGGCTCACAATTTTATCGCATGTGTGCTTTAAGACAACTGTTGTAGTTAGTACTGCTGTAACAAATATGCCATAGGCTGAGGAGCTTAAACAACAAACATTTATTTCTCACAGATCCAAGATTAAGGTGCCAACAGATCCCATATCTGGTGAGGGCCTGCTTCCTAGTTTGCAGATGGCCATCTTGTTGTATCCTCACATGGCAGAGAGCAGAGAGAGAAGAAGGAAGCTCTCTTGTGTCTCCTCTCATAAGGGCACTTATCCCACCCATGAGCGCTCTAGTGTCATGACTTACTTACATCCTAGTACCGTCACATTGGGGGTTAGGAATTCAACAAACATTTAGTTCATAACAACAGCCATCATATTTTGATATGCTACAAAAGTGCTTTTCTCCCCCTAATTGTTATAAAAAACACATAGCATGAAATATTCATCATCTTAGCCATTTTTAGGAGTATAGTTCAGTAGTGTTAAGTATATTCACGTTGTTGTGAAATATCTCCAGAATGTTCTCATTTTGCAAAACTAAAGCTTCTGTCCCATTTTGTCACATACAATGAGACGTACTCAAGTGTTGAGATTTCATAAAGTTAATTTTTTTTTTTTTTTGCTTCATCAAGGAACTCTTAAGGTGAAACTGGCATTAAAAAATTTTTTTCAAGTACATAGCAGTGAATAATATAACCACTAGTAAGTAAAGTTTGGTGCCACTGACTCAGTTTGCATCAGCAGTTTTATACACCATTGTTTAGTACTATCAGTACAGATGTTAACACAGTGAAGAGGGCACATAATGTCTAAGTATTGTTGTGAAAATAGTTTTGACCTTGCAGACTTTCTGAAAAGTTCTTGGGAACCCCTCCAAGCATCTACAGACCACACATTGAGAACCACTGATTTAGAGCAGTCTTAGGAAGATCATTTTGGTGGCAGTATAGAGGAGGGAGATTGAAAAAACAAGGAGACCAATTAGTTCAAGTGAAAGAGGAGGAAAGCCTCAATTTGAATAACAGAGTGAAGATGAAAAGGAAAAGATAGATATAGGCGAAATTTCAGAAGTAAAATTGATTTACAGAATTACAGGTATGTCTTTAGGATAATGAAAATATTGCCTTTGTGCCAGATTTTATCCACTTATTCAATTTATATCATTAACCTAATTACTCATGAAAATTGAAAATTTCCCCAGTACTATAAGAAAAAAAAATAAACATTTTTTTTGTAAACATACAAAACATACAAAAATGTAAACATACATTATTAATTTAAATAATGTATCTGGAAGAGAAGAGTAAGCTATCTAGTCAGTTATCTGCTTCTACTTATTGTTTTAGTTTGAGAATTTATGACCATGTCCTTTATCAACTTCTGAATTTACCCATGTGTTGAACATAGATAGCAGTTCATATGTAGATCCGTGTATCATTAGTTTAGGAGAGTTTTAGGAACTAATGCCTTTTCCACTGCTCAGATTCTCAGTAAACAAATAGTACAAATAGTACAAATCGGTTTAAACACTTGGTTCTTGATATTTCAGTTTGAAGGCTTTTTTCCCCCTCCTCAAACAGCAGTTCAAATGCTTCGCCTTCAGAAGGTGCACCACTAGTAGGAAGTTATGGATGTACTCCTCATTCATTCCCAAAGTTCCAGCACCCTTCTCACGAACTTTTGAAGGAAAATGGCTTTACCCAACAAGTGTACCACAAGTATCGTAGAAGATGCCTAAGTGGTAAGAGCCTTCCTTTATATAGCCTTCCTTTATATAGCTTCCTTTATATAGCTTATATAGCCTTCCTTTATATAGCTATCTTTAAAATTAAAACATAATTCTAAAAAATTCAAGTTGTGACATTTAATATCAGGTTAAACTAGTCCTTTGTTATAATTGCCTTAAGTAAATGTGTTTATATATATCTTTATTCATGTATTTTGTAGCTTAGACACATTAGAAAATAAAGCTTACTATATTCTTGTTACTATTGACAAATGCTTAAATTTGAGCAGTGAGTCAGAAAATGGATTATTTGTTCTTTGTTTAAAAGAAACCCAATTGGGGATTAATATGTTTCAGCTTTCTTTATTTTATGCTGTGTAAAACATCTGCTGTTTTGACTTTTTCCAGAGAGAAAACACTTGGGAATTGGCCAGTCCCAAGAAATGAATACCCTCTTTCGTTTCTGGTCCTTTTTCCTCAGAGATCACTTCAATAAAACAATGTATGAGGAATTTAGACAACTTGCTTGGGAAGATGCAAAAGAAAATTACAGGTCAAATATTTTCTCATATTTTTACACTTGGAGGGAATTTTTTAAAAATACTAAAAACTAGTATGGAAGCAGCCTGATTTTGAACTGTGGTAACTGGGAGAAGGACTGTGTTAGTTTTCTATTGCTGCATAGCAAATTACCCCAGAACGCAGAAGCTTAAAACAACAGACATTTATTAGTTCATAGTTTCTAAGGGTTAAGACTCCAGAAACAGCTTAGCTGGGTGGCTCTGGTTCAGTTCTCTCATAGGATTGCAGTCAAGGTATTGGACAGGGCTGCAGTCTCTGAAGACTTGACTCAGGCTAGAGGATCTTCTTCAAGCTCATTCACTTGGATATTGGCAGGAGGCTTCAGTACCTTGGCACATAGGTCTCCCCATAGGACATTTCACGATGTGACTTCACCCAGAGTGAATGATCTAAGAAAGGGGGAGAATTTCTAAGATGAACGCTTCGGTGTCTTACTTAACCTGCACTTGAAAGTGACATCACTTCTGCCATATTATAGTGTTCACACAGAGCAACCCTGGTATAATGTAGGAGGGGACTACACAAGTTTGTGGGTATCATGTTTGGAACCATGTTAGGGGCTGGTACAAAGGCCAAATGTAATTTGAAAGACAGATTTTTCTCTCTCTTGCCCCTACCATTACAGATTTCCCTTGGATGTGCATATACATCCCCAAATTGTTACATGCTTAGAGCCAAACCAGTTAAGATTCCTTGAGACAAGAAAAAATAAGGTCTCTCATGATACATCCTGATGCACCTGTTCAGTCTCATTTTTTCCTACTACAGTTGACTGTTCAACAATACCAGTTTGAACTGAATGGGTCCACTATTATGCAGAATTTTTTCAATAGTAAATACTACAGTACTACATAATCCATGGTTGCTTGAATCTGTGGATGAGGAACTGTGGATATGGAGGAACCACATATGTATATATTTATACAGAGGGCCAACTTTTAAGTTATACTCAGATTTTTAACTGTGGGAGGGTTGGTGCTCCTAACGTGCATGTTGTTCAAGGGTCAACTGTAGTCCTCTAAGCAACCATGGTACTGAACTACATGTTCTCCAAATGAACTGAGCTCTCTAGCCTCTAGACAATCTGTAAATATTCTTATCTCTGCTTATTCTTCTCTTCCTCCTCCCTCTGCTTTGCTAACTCTTCTTTTTGTCTAGGTTAGATCTTGCGTCCATGAGAAATGTTCAGGGTAATTTGTGCCAATAGGGCTGAATTGAGAACAGACCAAAGAGGATGAGAAGGAACATGAAATGGATTCATGCAAGCTAAGCTATTCATTCTTGGGAAAAGGGAGGAAGGAAGATGAGATGGAAGAAGAAAAAAGATAATTTTCCACTCAATATTTACCTAAATTTACCCTTCTTCAGGTTCTAAAAATGGATTCCTCTTGTAAAGCTCAAATAAGAATCTACTGTTAATCAATATTGTGATCTTCAAGAGGAATACAAGATATGCAAATAAATTTCTTTGAAAAAAAAATATACATTTGCACTGACTTGTGTAAAAATAAAGCCCACTTAGTTTTCATCTAGAATCTTGATCTTGATCAGGAATGATAGATAAATGGCATGTGTACCTCTTTTTCCCTCTTCTCTGTCCATTACTGACATCTCTAAATCAATCCCAGCATTGTTTAATATTATTCTTGAATTCAGATTTATAGTCTTTCTTATCACAGCTTTGATAGCTACTGCCAGTTTATCAGAGTTGGCACTGAAGGCAATATTTGCCATTTCTTTCTTTCAAAATTTTTTATTTTATATTGGGGTATAGTTGGTTTACAATGTTGTGTTAGTTTCAGGTGTACAGCAAAGTGATTCAGTTATACATATACATATAATCCATTCTTTTTCAGATTCTTTTCCCATATAGGTCGAGTAGAGTTCCCGGTGCTAGTAGGTCCTTGTTAATTATCTATTTTATCTACAGTAGTGTGTATATGTTAATCCCAACCTCCTAATTTATCCCTCCCCTCACCTTTCCCCTTTGGAAAACAAACCATAAGTTTGTTTTCAAAGTCTGTGAGTCTGTTTCTGTTTTGTAAATAAGTTCATTTGTATCATCTTTTTAGATTCCACATATAAATGATATGTATATGATACTTGTCTTTGTCTGACTTACTTCGTATGACAATCTCTAGGTCCATCCATGTTGCTGCAAATGGCATTATTTCATTCTTTTTTTATGGTTGAGTAGCATTCCATTGTATATAGGTTCCACATCTTCTTTATTCATTCATCTGTCGATGGGCATTTAGGTTGCTTCCATGTCTTGGTTATTGTAAATAGTGCTGCTATGAACGTTGGGGTGCATGTATATTTTCAAACTGTAATTTTCTCCAGATACATGCTCAGGAGTGGGATTGCTGGATCATATGGTAGTTCTATGTTTATTTTTCTAAGGAACCTCCAAACTGTTCTTTATAGTGGCTGATCTAGATGTTCTCATTCAAACTGTGTTTTGCTACCCGTTAATGGGTTGTGAAATCAGTTTAGTGGTTCTGACTTACTTAAAAAAATAGAAAATATCAGACTGCACTGAACATAGTAAGGTTAATATGTTTTACAATTCATACATAAATACAAATTTAATTATTTACAAAACATATGTTTTTATGTACACACGTATATATGTGAGTGTTGACTTGGTCACAAGGTAAAATATTTTTCTTACTATTGGACTTAGAAAAGTTTGAAAGCATTTGTTATAATTAATCTCAGCATATTTTGCTATTTATGCAAATAATTTCTGTTTGTTCCTCAGGACTTTCTATAACTTTTCTGATCCCATTTATACCCAAGTCTAGATTGGGAGTTCCTCTTCTTTATTCCTATGGTATTCTGTGTATGTTTATAATAGCTTAACATACTACCTGATACATAGTAAGTGCTCAATAAATGGTTACTTTTATTAGGAAGAAGATCAGTACTGAATATATCCATTGACTAACATTAGCAGTAGGATGGTTTCAAGAAGAAAGGAGAGAAGTAACATTAATTACATACATATCTGCAATGTGCCAGCTCTGGTCTAAGTGTTTTACAAATATTATCTATTATTGAAAAGTAGGATATTATTATCCCCATTTTTAGAGACATGATTATAAGCCTAGAATTCAAATGTAGTTCTTTCTGGTTCTCAGCCTTTTTGTTTTCTACTCATCTAAGCTGTCTCACAGTGATTGGTCAATGAGTAAATGACAACTGAGAGACTGGTCATTTGCCCCTGCTCTTTACTCCAGCATTTATGCTGCATATTTGGATTGTATTATTAATGTCATATTTTTGATCTTTGGAATTAGTTTCCTAAAAAGTAAGACTAGAAATCCAGATATTGTAGTAGTCAGTTGGCCTTTACACCAAATCTAAGAATCCTAACATTCCTCTAAAATGTCATTTACTTGATAAAACCTAAAATTTCTCAATCCTGCTTTCCAGAAAGAAAGAAAGAAGCCTAGGCTTCACCCCCAGAGATTATGATTTCATTGGTTTGGAGTGGAGCCTGGGCATCAGCATTTTTAAAAAGCTTCCTAGATGGTTCACATATGTAGTCAAGGTTGAGAACCACTGGTATCAATATAATATGATCCCATAAGAGGAGTATTAAGACAGGTTTGTCATTCTGAACTGTTGTTCCTTTAGTACTCAGTCCCCTTAGCCTCAGTCATACAAGCTCAAGGAATAGTGTCATTGATGGCTACCAAAGGAAAGGGCTCAGGTTAGTGTATGGTTGGTAGTCCTGCATTCCTCTTGCCATCTTACCAAGAAACCTGTTTATTCTTCCAGAGAGACTGTCACTCTCTATCTTCTAAATAAGCTGGTTACAAAGGACATATGCATGCATGCACACACACACACACACACACACACACACACACACACCCTTCTTCCTGTGAATAATGGTTGGGCAGTATTATGATACCAGGAAAGAAGAAATATAGCCTCCCCTCCACTGAGGCACCCAGAATGACTTAAGGATTCTACATGAGGGATTTTCTAAATTGCGACATGCTTTATTTGAATGAGCTGGATGGTCCCTTTACTGCTGTCCATTGACCTTGTTCATGTCCACTCTCATGGGTTCTGCTCATCACCATTAGTTGAAGTCTTGAGCCCATGTAGTTTCTTGATCCACTGTCCAAAACTTGTCTCAGGTTCTTTAGGTAGCTGTAAGAAGAAACAAATTTTTCTGATTTATGCAGTGATACAATTCTTTTGGCAAAATATCTTTTATTTAATATACTTTATAAGCAGGAAGGCTCTCTTAGGAGACATTTAATTAGGTTTGTCCCTTTATAGTTGAATGGGTCAACCACACCTAGAGTCTATGGCCCAAGAGTATGGTCTTTATCTTCCTAGAGATCATGTTCGAGTATTTAATACCATGTACTAACACACCATTATAAGCCTTGGTTTGGGAAAAAATCTAAAACATTGCCAGTTTGTCACTAAATCTTTTGAAATACCAGGGGAAGATACCAGGGAATTCTTCAGAAATACCAGGGAGAGATCCTGTGTCTGTTCAAAGAAGCCATAGTGTAGTTGTCCAAGGGCTGCCTCTTATTTTGCATATTCCCAGTATACCTCCATGAGATGCTATGCCTGAGTCAACAAAAATAGCAAAGCCAGCTGTAGATTACTAATTACCACTTCAGCTAAAAATCTGCGTACTAAAAATTACATACATTTGAACACTTTTGTTTGAGATTATTTGTGTCATGTTTTCCTGTATCAGTGCTGTTAAATATGACTATTTGCATTGTCATAGGAAAAATTTTATTGTAAACTTTTTATTTTCTTCCCACAGGTATGGATTAGAATGTCTGTTCAGGTTTTATAGTTATGGACTGGAAAAAAAATTCAGACAAGAAATTTTTAAGGATTTCCAAGAAGAAACCAAAAAAGACTATGAATCTGGTAAAATAAAACAATAAACTTATTCTATTTGGAAATTGTAAATCTGAGTCTGTCGATAAATAGGGAGTTTGTAACTTTTTTTTTAGGGCAGACTATTTAAGACTTTCAGGCCACTATTATGGTTTGTGATGAAGGATAGAGCACCATATAGTACGAAGGTCTTACTTGTGAGATGTTGGAAAATAGCCACTCTGAAGTGTTTCCTTATTTGTATTTTGTCTTTATTCATTTGACACACATGACTACTCACTGATGTTCCATTACATGAAAATTCTATGCAACATGAGCAAGTGTGCTTGGAAAGGTGGAATAGCACAGTGAGTAACAGTGCAGACTCTGAGCTAGATCCGTAAGTCTGAATCTCACTTCCCCTACTTTGTAGCTCTGTGGCCATGGGTAAGTTACTTAACCTTGTTAGAAAAACAGACAAAAAAACCCCAAAACCCTGTTAGCCCAGTTTACTCATCAGGAATATACCCAAGAGCACCTATATTACAGGGTTGTATGTAGTTCAAATTAGTTAAATATATAATAAACCACTTAAATAATACATGTTACATGGCAAATGCTCAATAAATGTTAACTGTCATTATTCATTACAATGTCTTATCTTCAAGACCTAGATAAAGTGTACATAGAAGACATGGTTTAATGCTGGTAGGATCATATCCAATATGAATCATTTTTTAAAGATTCTATATATTTTATCATGTATGTACTTCTTTGTTTTTAGGTCAGCTGTATGGATTAGAAAAGTTTTGGGCTTACCTAAAATATTCTCAATCTAAGACACAGTCTATTGACCCCAAACTTCAGGAATACCTCTGTAGCTTTAAGAAGTTGGAGGACTTCCGTGTTGATGTAAGTTTTAAGTCCTTTCCCCTGTATTATTTTTATTACTCTTATGCTTGAGCTATCAGTGACTTTCTTAAGTTTATTTTTATAATTTTTATTTATTTATTTATTTGCGGTATGCGGGCCTCTCACTGCTGTGGCCTCTCCCGTTGCGGAGCACAGGCTCCGGACGCGCAGGCTCAGCGGCCATGGCTTATGGGCCCAGCCGCTCTGCGGCATGTGGTATCTTCCCAGACCGAGGCACAAACCCGTGTCCCTTGCATCGGCAGGCGGACTTTCAACCACTGTGCCACCAGGGAAGCCCAGTATAATTTTTAGTTTTTAAATTTAATTTTGAAAATTTAACTTCCCAGTTTTGAAGTCAAACTTTAAAAGAGGTGCAAAAATAGTATAGTGAATTCCCATATATTCTGTTACCCAGAGTCCCTAAATGTTAATATCTTACATAACTATGGAGCAATGGTCAGTTCACTTTAATTTTGATATGCATGATAAACATTTTATGGATTTAGTAACTTTTATGTGGATATGTTACTCATTTCTCACTAGCAGTTTTTATTTATTTTTATTTTTTTAAAGATTTCTTTATTATTTCTTTATTTTATTTTATTTTATTTATTTTTGGCTGCGTCGGGTCTTAGTCACGGCACACGGGATATTCGTTGTGGCACACAGGTTTCTCTCTAGTTGTGGCGTGTGGGTTTTCTCTTCTTTAGTTGTGTTGTGCAGGCTCCAGGGCCTGTGGGCTCTAGTTGTGGCGTGTGGGTTCCAGAGCATGTGGGCTCTGTAGTCTGCAGCACGCAGGCTCTCTAGTTGAGGCACGTGAGCTCAGGAGTTGTGGCACGTGGGCTTAGTTGCCCCACAGCATGTGGGATCTCAGTTCCCTGACCAGAAATTGAACCCGCGTCCCCTGCATTTAAGGTAGATTCTTTACCACTGGACCACCAGGGAAGTCCTCTCACTAGCAGTTTTTTAATTTTTCACTTTTTATGTATTTGTATCCTATAGTTTCCATAACACGTGCTCATGTAACATGGATTTATGGTTCCCCCCATAATAAAATTAGGGCAAGAATGTTATGTGCATGTGTAGAGACAGGAGAATAGGCTTTAGACAATTTGATTTCAAGACGAAAAGGAAAACATTTTAAGAAAAGAAGTGGATGAACATAATAAGATAAAGGAAAAGGAGAAAGAAGAGAAGAGAGAAATAAGGAAAGAAGAATCAAAAAGAGCAGAAAAGAGAGAGGTGAAAGGAAGGCTAGGTTCATCTCTGCTTAGTATTGTAATTAGTTTGTCTTTTGTAGTTTTGTGTAAATAGATTTGATAGCCCAGGGATGGAGTTAATAGAAGTGCCTCCATCTCTGGAATTAAAGAGCTGTGTTTCAGACTTCCCTGGCGGTCCAGTGGTTAAGACTCCACACTTCCCAAAGCAAGGGGCACAGATTCGATCCCTGCTCAGGGAACCAAGATCCCTCATGCCTTGCAGCATGGCCAAAAATTAAAAAAAAAAAAAAAAAAAGCTATGTTTCTAGAGTGTTCCAGCCAGTTCTGTCACAAGATGTCCCTGCTTTATAATACTAGTGATTTTTGCCCTATCTGAACAGAAGCCAAGAATTCAGACCTCTGCTTTTAAATTTGTATCATGTTTTCCTGTATCAGTGCTGTTAAGTATGACTGTTTGCATTTTAAATACTGTGGAAGTTTGGAGAAGAAAGAGGTTAGAGTTATAAATGCTTTGCAACTGACAGAAGTTTCATAAAGAAGGAAAATGGCCTCTCTGAAACATTTTCCCAGAGACAATGACCCCAGCCTTATGCTTATGCCCTACTATTTAGTTCAAGCCCTAAAACATAGGAGTAGCTTAATAAACATGTTGAATGAAAGAATTGACTGATGAGGAAATTTAAGTTTAACACCTTAAATTGCTGTTAAGTTTTCATTATACTAGTAAAATCTACTGAAGTGCCGGCATAGTTTCCCTCTGTTAGAAAAGTCTGGCCTTAGATTTTGAAGGGAGGAAAAAAATAGTAAAATCATTACTATGTTGTCTTTCATAATTTGCAGCCCCCTATAGGTGAGGAATTTGGAAGAAAAAGACATTCATCTACTTCTGGTGAGGCGAGTAATCATCACAGACTTCCATCTGATTTCTCTACAAAGTCACCGAGTGCTGCTAAGCCTATACCTGACAATCAGCTTCGGGTCCTAACAAACTCTCCCAGAAGGAATACTTCACAGCAGTCCAATGACAATTCACACCAGAACAGTGCTGCCTCAGTCTCAACACATGGTGAACTGCCTGAGAAATAGACTCTTATGAAAGTTGTTTGCCCTTGAAATCAACATTTACGTCAGTATTTATTGGGGGAAATCCTCTGATGTTTAATTGTGATAATCAGAAAAAAGAAAAAGGAAGAAAAATGGCAGCATTTTTTTCTAGAAAGATAAATTCTAAAAACGTTTTCCCTGATTTCACGAATAAGTATAATTTTGGTAACCTTTTATAGAGATCCTCTAGTAATATATTTTGGTCTCAAATATATATTTGAAATAATATATTCCGTTTTCAAAGCCATTGTTTATAAGAACAGCATTCCTTAAATATATACAAAAACAACACAAGGAATGCCTAACATTTCAGCTCATACTTCTTAAAGAAGATATAGTATGTTATAGTCATCTATTCTATAGAGATTTCTTAAAGAATCCAATGACCCCACTGTCAATTCATATTTGAACTTATCAAAAACAAAGGACAATTATGTATATGTTTTTTAAATTCAGAAAAAGAATGTGAAATGATACATTTGCTTTTCTTTTAGATTTATAGTTTAAAGAAAACTTTTTTTATTTTTACAAAAGTAGAAATATATTGCAGTTATATTGAAGTATATGCACTTTGGACGTTGGGTTTTGCCTTTTTCCCCGTTAGTCATACCTCATGATTTCCATAGTTATTGTTGTGTTGGTATGGAGTGTTCTGAATTGGCATTAGCCAGTTACATATTAGAAGAGATTTACTTTTTGTGACTATATAAACCTGCACAAGTAATTGAAAACTGAGTTGGGATTGGTTGGAATACTGTTCTAAATTAGTTAAATCTTGCACTGTTTTGAATGCATTTGCTGTTTGTACATCTGCAGGTGTGTATGTCACAAGTAATCAGATTATCTTCAGTTTAAAAGGAGTACCTTTTTGTGTCTTTTACTTTTGTTTTATGCTTATAAAAAGTGTTTTCAAGAAACAAATTGACTTCTAATTTTTATTGCTGTTGCAACTGATGTAAATGATAGTTTCAGTTTTTGTGGGAATTAAAATAAAGCACTTATTCTAAATTATTTGAGTTGATTTTTAATTATTTTTGTTTAGAATACAGCTGAAAAGATGTAATTTTCAAATTCTGCTAGTAGAAGACCACTATAGTGGGTGGGCCAAAAGTTTCGTTCAGTTTTTTCTATAAGATGGATCTAGTAGCACTTGGTTGTCTTTAACTTTATTTGAAACAATTTTGTTAGATTGTATGTGACAGCTGTCAGATCAGCGTGCATTGAAAAAAAGACTTACCAAAATTGGTGAATTTTTGTGTAGCCATTTAAATATTGAAGATGGAAGAAAAAAAAGCAATATTTTCAGCATATTATGCTTTATTATTTCAAGAAAGGTAAAAATGCAACTGAAACGCACAAGAAGATTTGTGCAGTGTGTGAAGAACGAGCTGTGACTGATCAAACATGTCAAAAGTGGTTTGTGAAGTTTCGTGCTGGAGATTTCTTGCTGGATAATGCTGCACGGTTGGGTAGACCAGTTTAAGTTGATAGGGATCAAACCGAAAAAATAATTGAGATCAACATTATACCACGTGGAAGATAGCTGACATACTCAAAATATCCAAGTCAAGTGTTGAAAATCATCTACACCAGCTTGGTTATGTGAATCGCTTTGATGTTTGGGTTCCACATAGGTTAAGTGAACAAAACCATCTTGATCATATTTCCTCATGTGAGTCTCTACTGAAACGTAATGAAAATGTTCCGTTTTTTTTTTTTTTTTTCTTGCGTTATGCGGGCCTCTCACTGTTGCGGCCTCTCCCATTTGCGGAGCACAGGCTCCGGACGCGCAGGCTCAGCGGCCATGGCTCACGGGCCCGGCCGCTCCGCGGCATGTGGGATCCTCCCGAAACGGGGCACGAACCCGCGTCTCCTGCATCGGCAGGCGGACCCTCAAGCACTGCGCCACCAGGGAAGCCCAAATGTTCCGTTTTTAAAACAAATTGTGACGGGCAATGAAAAGTGGATACTGTACAACAATGTGGAATGGAAAAGATCTTGGGGCAAGCGAAATGCACCACCACCAACCACACCAAAGGCTGGTCTTCATCCAAAGAAGGTGATGTTTTGTATATGGTGGGATTGGAAGGGAGTCCTCTATTATGAGCCCCTTCTGGAAAACCAAGCGATTAATTCCAGTAAGTACTGCTCCCAATTAGACCAACTGAAAGTGGCACTCGACGAAAAAAGTGTCCAGAATTAGTCAACAGGAAATACATAATCTTCCATCAGGATAACACAAGGCTGCATGTCTCTTTGATGACCAGGCAAAAATCGTTACAGCTTGGGTGGGAAGTTCTGATTCAACTGCCATATTCACCAGACATTGTACCTTCGGATTTCCATTTATTTCAGTCTTTACAAAATTCTCTTAATGGAAAAAATTTCAGTTCACTGGAAGACTGCAAAAGGCACCTGGAACAGTTCTTTGCTCAAAAAGATAAAAAGTTTTGGGAAGATGGAATTACGAAGTTGCCTGAAAAATGGCAGAAGGTTGTGGAACAAAAAGGTGAATACGCTGTTCAATAAAGTTCTTGGTGAAAATGAAAAATGTGTCTTTTATTTTTACTTAAAAAACCGAAGGCACTTTTTGGCCCACCCAATATGTTGTGAATGAAGTTTCAGTGTTAAACTTACATCCATTTTTATTTCGCTTATATGTTTTCTTGTATTGGCAAGAAGCAGCTAGTTTAATACACTAAATTTATTATTTTCTTTTTGGTGTCTTGTTCTTATAGAATGACAGTATTGAAATAAATATCTTCTTTGGATAAGTGGACTATTCTTTAGTAAATAAGAGACTTTCATTAGGTTATTTCCATGAATAAATGATAATCTGCCATTTTATGATATTTAATATTGGGGAGGTCATTTTGATATTTTAATTTTAAGAAAGAGTCAAATTTGAATATTCAGAAAATATACTTAGATCTTGGAGAGAGAATGCAAAACAACTAATAGATTTAGAATAATAAATTTTAAAATGTTTTCTTAAGTGCAGATGTAGTTCTGGCTTTTCAGTGAGGAATTTCCAAACCATGCTTATTAGCTTTAAGCAGTCTCTTGAAATTACCTAAAGTTATCTAAGAATCTTTCTCAGTATCCTTTTTGTGTTGAACACATACATCTGAAACCTGTATTTAACCTAAGATTACTTCCACTCACCTAAATATGCAAATGTAAATTTGATTGGAAAATTTTATATTTTATATGAAAATACAGTAATCAAGAGTTTTGTGATGTGTAATAAATTAGTAATTTTATCATATTATTTTTATTATAAAAACAATACATGTAAATTAGGAAATTTAGGAAAGCACAAAGAGGAAAATAAAGTACTTTTTTAAAAAAGAAAAAAAAATTGGTATCATGCTATACATATAGCATTATAACCTGCTTCTTCACATAGAGGTGAGCATTTTCTGATGTCATTAATCTTTCTACACCATGACTTTTACAAGTTATGTAGTATTCTAGCAGATGGATGTGCCATAGTTTACTTAGCTGAATCGCCTATGGTTGAAATTTTACATATGGCCAGGTTTGGGCTGTTACAAACAACAATTTAATTAATGATATCCCTACAGATAAGTCTTTGTGTATAAACTTGGAGTTATTGCCTAGCATAAATTTCTAGAAGTTGAAATTCTAAGTAAAAATGTATTCCCATTCAACGTACTCTAGAATGGTTGCACAGTTTACAATTTTACCAACAGCATCTACTTTTCTATGTTCTCACCAAAACTGGTTATTATAAATCTTTCTCTTTGATAGACTGAGAAGCAGAAAATATTATTTTAATGTCATTAAGATCATCATTTTAATCAGGTTACTAATGAGTGATAATTTTTATTGTTTATTAACTACATTATTTGTAGATGGCTTGGTCATATCTTTCATGTTTTCCTTTTGGAGTGATTGTGTTTTTCTGATTTATAAAGCTTTTTTAATTATCAAGACTATTAACCCTTTGCTTTCTAATTTTGATTATGTGTGTTTGACATAGTATGTACATTTTTTTGGTAAAAAATTTAAAAATTATACCCCTTAAATTCCAAATGCGAAACTTAGGCAAATAAAAGCATTGTTATTCAATGAAAAGAAAAATATTATTGACTATAAATCTAAATAGTCCTACCCAAAATATGTGTAAGTTCCTAGAGAACTTCCTTCCTTGTGATTTTATAGTTTTCAATTTTATTAAATAAAAAAGACAACATTAAAATGTTTAAACTACTTGTCCTTTTAAAGGGATAGTTGAAGCCATCTTTGGAGTTCTTTTTTTTTTTTTTTTTTTTTTTTTTTTTTTTTTTTTTTTATTTTTGGCTGTGTTGGGTCTTCGTTTCTGTGCGAGGGCTCTCTCCAGTTGTGGCAAGCGGGGATCACTCTTCATCGCGGTGCGCGGGCCTCTCTTGTTGCGGAGCACAAGCTCCAGACGCACAGGCTCAGTAATTGTGGCGCACGGGCTTAGCTGCTCCGCGGCATGTGGGATCCTCCCAGACCAGGGCTCAAACCCGCGTCCCCTGCATTGGCAGGCAGATTCTCAACCACTGCGCCACCTGGGAAGCCCTTTGGAGTTCTTTATACTAAAAGGAATTAAAGAAGAAAGTTATATTTTAAAATAGATATCGTTTTAGTTTTTAAATAGATTTTATTTTTTAAATTTGTTTTGCCTGTTTGGGACTTCACTCTGACATTCTCTCATGCTTCTCCTTGCTGTTATACTGAATGATATTACCTCTTTCTGTGCTTAATCTTATCTTTCACCTAATTTCTTAACTCTTATGAAACTGCTTATTTTTATTTTATTATATAGGAGACTGATCCAAGAGAGTAATACCTAATTATATCGCCACTAGATGGCAGAATGGAATAAGATCAGTAAGTCTTTTGAGAGGCGTGTGTGTGTGTGTGTGTGTGTGTGTGTGTGTGTGTGTGTTGAACTCTCACTCCATCTTGTGGTGATATGTAATTATATCAATTACTCTTGCATTCCTAATAGCCACATGTTCTCAACAACTCATGATTACCCTGTTACAGCAATGCCAAATTGTGCTTAGTTATTAGTAAATAAATACAGTAGCAGCATTAAGTTTTGTATATGGTTAAAGATAAAAATGCTATTGCTTTGGTTTCTTTTTTTGTCATTTCACTTAAAAATTTGAAGTACTTCATTGGCATTATTTGTGATTAACTCTTGAGCTGTAAACAAGGCAAGAAAATTTTAAGATGCGTCTGTTTGTCTAGCTAACGTGTAGTTAAATCCTGCCTGAAATATGAGAAACTTAAAACTAGATGGTACTCTTATGACTAGAACAAAATGTTATCACATAGTTAGTTGAACGGCAGAGCAAGAATTCGTACTCAAATAGTCTAGCTCCAGACTTCAAGCTCGTCATCTTAACCAGACTGTTCTTTAATAGCTTGAAATTTTGGAACGTATAAACACTGACTCCAGAACTCAAAATGCTGTGATTCTTAACTATTATGAAATCAAGATTATATTCTTGTGGTTAAGACTGTAAAGTTGTTTTATCTTGGGCATCTTCTGCAGTAACCAGTGGTCTAGTGGAATATTTAAATATATAAATACATTAAGTGCTATACGGTAAATCCTCTTTGCAGGGGGAAATCATGATTAGTGACAATATCACTCGTGTGTTTAAATATTTTCCTAGAATTAGCTACAGTAAAATAAAAACTAAACATTTTATTCAGAATACAACTAGAAATTTTGCATTACATTAGAGTTACTATTGTCAATTGAAGATACTAGATACTATTCTATTCAGAAATAATGGTGTTCCAGTCTTTAAAAAGCTTGAAGGAAATATGCCACATGGGTTAATTAACAGGAAGCACCTCTGGCTTTATACATTTTTACCAATTTTCTGAATTCTTTACAATGAGCCTGTTTTTAACTTGTCCAATTAAAGACATGATTTGGTTAACAGAATGGTTTCTACCAATATATTACACATATTTGCTTCAGATAAAAAAGCAGA